CGCATAATCGGATAAATCGATTCTTCCGCGCAAACGACACAGATATAATACGGGAATAATTTCGACGCGCGGCCCAAAGTGCAGCCGGAGGAAACGAAAAAGGGCAGGTGTGTTTTTCTCGGCGCTGTGTTCAAACTTTGCACGTACTTTTCATTCCACGGGAACGCGGACGGGCGCGCGCCGTCAGCGGGAGAGAATAGGCAACGAGTTACTAATTTATTTATCCTCTCTCGCTCGAACTCTCGTCGAGCAAGATGAGGGGGAAAAAAGGTCGCCCCTTCGCGTCCGTCCGGGCTGAACAAAATTGCAGCGCCTACCGCGCGCGCGTTTCCTTTGACAGGAAAAACGGATTGAAAGTACTCGCAAGTTTATTTGCGCAGTTATTGTCGGCGTTGCGACTACGCCGCGGGTTCAATTAGCGAATTAAACTTTTAAGCGGCGCTTCCTTTGACACCGACGGCTCTCATCCTTCCCGTGGCCATTGTTTACGCGTCTTTTGTTTGACTCCACGGAAATTATGAGGGCGCTCATGATTTAAAGGCGAGGGGAGACCTCGTCGAAAATCCTCGTGAAAGACGACTCGAAGAACCGTCCTTGTGAAGCGACGAATTCTCCTCCTCTCTCTCTCTCTCTCTCCCTCTCTCTCCTCTTTCTTTCTCTATCACCCAACCCTCACCGACCCGGCTTTGTGCTTAATCGCAATTCTTTTACGAGTAAGTGAAATGCCTTCTGTTCGTCTTGGCAGTCGTTAAAGTGGATTCAATCGATGGACGGTCGTAACAAATAATCAGAGTAAATTAAATGGACCCTCGACGAAAGTAGATGCGAAATAGAGCGAAGAATTTCAAGAGAGCGAGCAAGAATCGTCTCACGTGACAATTTATTTTTCCTATCCAGTTAAAGAATAACAAACAAGAATTTAATTCATTAATGAAAATGATAACTTGGAACATGTTTTTCGAGATGTTTCTTCTTTTTACACTTATATCTTTTATTTCGTTCTATTGAGTTGTGTACAGGAATAGTTAACAGAGAGTTAATGCGCGCGGATGTATCGGTATTCAAACTTTACTGAACGAAAGAGAAAGACGTTTTGGGTTGCATTGTCGGTTTTGCTTAACGCGGCGCTTTTACGATCTGATTTGGGCGGCCTCGAATTTCGCGAGTTTACGGAAGATTAAAGCGACTTTAGCTACGAATCAGCTTAGGAATACGAGCGACGGAGACTACGCGGCAGCGAAGACGAGAAAGAGAGTGGTGAGGGGAGGGGAAGGAGTGCGGAAGAGGTGGCACGAGTCTCGCGGATCCTACGGACGGAAGTTTCCTCCTCAAATTAACCAGCTCGAGAGACGCTACGTAAACCGAGATTATTATAATCTCTCCGAGGCCTGACTGCGGTAGCATTAAACGAAGAGACGCGCCCTTTGTTTCTTGGTATAGGCATGTATATGTATGTGGTCGCGGACGAGAGGGGAAGGAGACGGGAGGCAACGGGGCAGAGACGGCTAAAGAGCTCCGGGTCTACGCCGGTCGGGTTGTCGCTTTGCTCTCAACGGAGTTCGCTGGCGACTTTCCGATGCGTTCGCCCACGGTAATGAAACCTAGAAACGGATTAGCCCCGAGGTTTGCGATAATGGCGCAAGGAAAGAATTGCCATTTTGCCAAGATCTTACCCAAATCCGGTCATGAACAAGGAGCCGCATACGAAAATTCCTGTCTTCCCTGCGCCGGAACGCGCTCGCAGTTATTGGCTCGGTTACAAAACCTCGCTCGCAAATAAATTCGATTATAACCCGCGCCCGCGGTATAACGGAGGTAAAAATGCGCACGGATAAGTTGAGAGCGCGCGCCGGCCTCGCTGCCGATGGTATCAGTCTATTAGCGAACTGACAATATCGAGTCATGTAATAGCCGATAATGCAAGCATTATTAGGCACTGTAATAACCACCGGCCATTCTGGTTCAAAGTCCAAGAGCAAATTTGCCGAAACGGATCAGCAATTACCCTCGAAATCGGCCCGCGCAATCGCGCCGTTCCGATCTATTCCGAGCGATTTTCCGCGCGATGACCGCGCAGCTTTCTTCGGCGCGCGCGCACACGCGAGCTCCTGCAAATTGTTTCTTTATTTTATTCGAAGATCCCCGCCGGTGCGGTCGGCGGTCGTTAATCGTCAGCAACACCGAACCTGAGCTACAACTATAAATCGCGCGCGGCAACTACTTTACGTTTGTTTCCATAAAATGCAACGGCCGCACAAGCGCCCCGGCGTTTCCCCATCGCACTTAATCCCAGGGTATTTATTCGCATAATAATAATAGTAACGCCGTTGGAGCGTTTTCAAGAATTATAGCTGTCCTTGCCTCCCACGATAAATGAGTCCGGAGGATTAGCTAAACAGTGGCTCAAAAATGTTATTATATAGCGGCATGAATATTCATCAACCGGCGAACTCAGCGGCTCGCTTTTAAAACGTTTCAACCCCGTTTCAACCCCGTTTCCTCTTGTTCCGCGGCGGAATCGCTTTGACACAGCTGAGTCAGTTTAAGTACTTGAATGGAAGTGATTATCTCCCGAGAGTCGCCTTATCCGTATGCTTAATTTTGATTACTCGCTGAATGATATGGATAAAAAAGGTGTTTTCGTTTGCTTCGCGTTTTTCGCGGAATCGCAAGTTCGTCTTCTACGATAATATCGATTTCCAAGACTTGCCTTAAATATCGCGCTTTGAAACATATATCAGCGATCTAATTAATGCTGATATCGTTTTTAACATTGTTATTCGATACGATGCTCTACCATTCGTTTTTAGAATATGTTATAATAAGAATAGAATAGAATATGTGTTACTTATGCTCAAGCATTGTAAATTTTATTGTAAATGAAAATTTTGTAAGTGAAAATGATCATTGAAATATTGGTGAAAATGGTTTATCTAACTTTTCCTCTACGTCATTTTAAAAAAATTCATTACTTTTGCAAACAACAATTCAAAATGCTGCAGTGCTATTTAAAAAAAAATCACTGTCTAAATGAAGACTGTGTTATTTTAGAAAACTCGACGTTATAAAAGATGGAACCTATTCGATTTCTAGAATAGCGAAATAAGCATTTTGAACTCAGCTCTACCTAGAAATGGGCTGCATGTCCAAGAGATTGATTTCTTCATGTAGAACAGGACCGCGGTAATTGGTAGAATGAATCTCGAGATAAGAAGAATGGCCAATAAGGAAGGGCACGTAGGAGGCGTGCCTCCCGTCCGAGGATTACGCTATGAATTGATATCTTACTTTGATAAAAGACCAATCGCGCCGTGTATCACAAAAATCTGAAATTGCGATTAAATCCGCAAGCGCGATATATTGATGACCTCCGGGCTTTAGAGAAATATAAAATAAGCTTTGATCCTTCGCTTCCTTATTAGTATATGACGGAAATAAGTAACAAGATATCGAAGAGTGACATTTAATCCTATAATAATTTCTTTAAAACTGGCAAATGAAAGGCTGCGCGCATTCACGTTGCTAATCTCATAAAGCACGGTTATTTTCCTGGACAATTTATGCGATAGCATAAACTTGTTAATATCGTTTTCGATATAGATTGTGAGGGGAACATATCGCACAAGCATAATAGCATTACGCAATGTACCATTGTATAATTCTTTAATACCCCGTCAATCGCGGCGTATAAATCGTACGCCAAAAAATCAACATATCGTACGTCGCCGCGCGCAGACTAGATCTCGTTAAAGTTTTCGCATAAATTCCACGCCGAGGACAAATTGAAATTCTCGTTGCGCAGATAAGCGCGGCTTAAGAGTCACGCGTGCAGCCGCGACATTCACGCAGCGTGCAACGTAATACGTACGACACGGCCATTCAATCACGAAGTGCGTGCCCGCGATAATATACGCGTAATGCCGCGGCGATATTTCGCGCCGCTCAGGAAGAGAATGCATACACCAGGCTGCCGGTGTTAAATCATACGCGCTCGCGCGTATATGCGTCGCGCATACACACGGACGCGCGCTCGCTCACGGCGACGGTGAAATATTGAAAATGGTGATTAATTAAAAGGTACACTCGTTAAGCGGGATTACACGTGCGATTGATATTTTTGCCGGGACCCCGTTCCGGTAATCACGTTAACGTGGCTGCCGAATTTAATTTGCTTTTCGTTCGACGCGCGCCCTCTCGTTCGCGGTCGTCGCACGCAGATTGATTCGGACTGAATAATAAGCGGGCATAGGTCCGAGGAAAGTGCAGTAATTAGCGCCTCCATCCGCGGTTACAAGCCTCACTCCCCACCTCTTGCGTGCCGGCACGCACTGTTACTGTCGAGCGAGAAGAAAATCTTACCGAATGTGTTTGCAACAAATTAATTTAGATAGCTGACATCAAAAGAAATTAATTTTAAGAAAATATAACAGCCGTAATATTCTTTTATTCTGAATTTAAATCGCGTGTGTGAAACCGGTTTATTATTTCTCAAAAAGTCAAAACTATTAAGAATTTTGACTATATTTTTAATAATTTTAATAAATTCTGATAGATAACATGAACAAATATTGCCCATTAAACTAATAAAAACGGCTAAAAAAATTGAGACGTTAAATATATGTTGAATTTTAGCTTTTTCTTGCGAGATATTTTCATTTTTGCCATTTATTATATTTATTACCTATCAGATCTTAAGAACTGTCAAAATTTTAGCGTCTTAATTCGTTATCTATATATTTTCTCAAACGACATAAATTATTTTAAAAAATATTTCATCATACATTATCGATTATCGAACATTTATTAAAATATTAAAATATTTATAAAATCGAGAACGCTTTTAATGATTTATCAAATGTTAATTTATTCTATGTAATCTATCAGAATTTACAGAATTATTATAGCCGCTGTGCAGCCAAAATTCTGCCATAGCTTTCTCTTATATACCAAAAATGTAAAAATATGCGGCTATAAAAAAAAACTTAATATCTAGCACTCACCATTCGTAGCTGCAACCGTAGCATTCAATATGCCAAAAAAATTCACCGCTGCTTATTCGTGATACTCTGCGATCGCAGCATGAATCCTCGATGCTCCAATAATCCGATCGTTTTCTGAAATTCAAAAGCAATCTATGTTAGTTGCGCAATGATGTAACGACAGAGTTCATATAATGCTTTATAATTCATCATAGCGTTTTCTTCATTATTTATTAACCAACTGAAAAGAATCTGCACACTATATATACAATAATTGATAATTACAAGAATTTTCATAGGTTCAATTTTTAATGCTACAAATGCCAAAAATTTTATCGTACACTAGTTATCGCACTTGCGATGTTACGAAAAAAAAAAGGTAGGAATCAATATTCTGTGTCTACGATATCGAAATCCGAACACGTCAAAGTAAATACCAGCTTCAAGCTCCTCGCGATAAGCGGTGCATATTTTTTGCGAGAGAAGTAGATTGACAACCGAAGCAGAAGTAGAGAAAGAAAGTAAACACCGACTGGCAAGCGCAGCGGCTAGTCCGAGCACTTCGATAACGCGATAAGGCGAGGTTAAACCCATGTTTGGCGGGCAGGTTATAGGTTAAACGGTGAGCTAGGGGGTGCAACAGGTCGCGTGAACTTGGGTGAATTTTCTGTTCCAGGGCGCGCTGTCTGGCCCTCCGGCACCCCCTTCACCCCCTTCGCCACGCCATCATTAGTCAATGTCGACGCTTGTAGCACGTGGAGCTCCGCAGAATGCAGCATCTGCCTGATATCCCCCTGTATCTCTCGTACAAATCCGTGCTGCGATCCTACCACAAAGTCAGCGATGCCCTACCCCCCCTTTTCTCCTTCTCTTTTGCAAATACACCATCTATATTAACTGCCTTTTTCAGGGATGCAAATGTGAGCTGCGTGGCAAGTTACTTTTACGGATTCTATTCTTTTTCGGATTAAACGACGAATATTACATGTTACTGCTGAATTCACAACAGCATTTACAAGCACATTATTTTGCTAATAAAATATTGTTTAATTGTTTAATCACTTGAACTACTAAATATTCTTTCAGTATATTATCACACAAATTATTTTTATAAATATTTGACGAATAGCCTAGATTTTATTAATTGAAAATGAAATCCTCCTCTTTCTTTCACACAAAAAATATAAAATTATTTTTTTAAACTTCAATAATAATATTAAAGTACCAAAAGCATATTTTTTTCACGTTAACCAAGTATGCCACGATATACTTATCAATGAAATATTTTTATTATCTGCCTCTAAATTTAAACTATGGATTATAATAAATTAACATAATTAAAGCAAATCGCATTATTAATTATAATCTAAACAAGCTAGAACTTTAGGAGATGATCGTAATGTTGAATACGTACATAAAGTTTTTTACTAGAAGCAATGAATATATCAAGCCACTTCTTTCGCTATGCTACGATAATCGCTGCTCACGGTCCCTACAAAGTATGATAAATGCGATCGTTATGCGCTACGAATCTAAGAAACAAATGCGGAGAGCGCCAAAAGTCAAGTAACGGACGAGTGCGGCACAGACGACACGGGGATGAAGGTAGGACGGGCAGAAGGGTTAGCACCCGCAGAATTTAGCCAGCCCTCGCTCGGTCGAAGAACAAAGCTTGATTTATTGTAATGAGTTTGCAGGAGTTAAGAGGTCTGCCCCTGCCCCCGGCCTCGCCTCGATATTCAGACTCGTGCGGTTTGATGGGGATCCTCGGATCAACCCCCGTCATAAACCCTTCTTAGCGGCGGCCACCCTCGTAACCCCCTCTGAAATATGCATGAGCCCCCTGCATACTGATTGCGTTATTTGTATCACCTACGAGAAGTCACCGCGAAATCGCGTCTGCACTTGGCTCGCATGATCCCGTAAAAGCCGCGAAGTCGCTCCTCTTTCGACCGTCGATCGACTCACAAAAGGCCGGATCCTCCTCGAAGACATCCAAGTTCCCGTATCATAACCATATCGTTACTCAAGACATCGCCAAAGATGCGTTCTTTCGTGGCTACGACACCGTGCGATCTTTTAAGGATTCGCGAAAGGTTTTCTCGGAGATAAGATGTGAAAGGCCAGGCATTCTTCGCCAAGCAGTATTATAATCTTTGCTATACTAGATGATAAAAAAAATCTTTCGGATCGTAATATGACTTTTAAATCCGTAATGCGAGCGAATATCGCAAAATTACGTGACAATTCAACTTTGATATCATCGTATCGTCAACATGTAATTATAACGATCAAATAATCGGGCGTTCGCTCGTGTCAAGAAACGATGTCGCGTTCCATCACTGTCGATAGGTGAACATCAATCGGTCTTTTCCTCGTTTCACAAACACAAGATACGTCTTCGGATACCACATCGATACCACGACACAATGATCGATGTTGGCCATCGACAACTCGTGTGCAAAAAACAGAAAATTTAAGTTGCTCTCGTATTTCCGATCGTTACTTGCATCGTCCGTTTTCATAACAATAATATATATATATATAACGATGTAAACAATACAAATAATATAATATTATCATAAATCTCTAAAAATTTCTTCTTTTTTTTATCAATAATGAAATTATTCCTACAAGTAATTGTACAATATATTATGTTTTAATCTTAATTAAATAGTTTTTGAATTGAAATAATTTTATGTATTGGAATATATGAGCATAGTTCATAAAACGAGTACAACTTATTTATACGAAATTCTTTTCCAAAATAATCTGACTAAAATATATCTTCTCTTCATAATGTAAAATAATACATTGAAAAACCCTTACAGTATGTCGTTATTAGAAAAAAAACTTTTATACGTTATTATATCATATTTTTCTTCCGCCCGTAGCATAAAAATGTATGTATCATCTACTTAATACAGTTCCTATCGTCGTCAAAACGGCGGTTCGGAATCGATCATTCGGCAACATTGGGTAGAAACGCGCCGCACATTTTACAAACGACGAAAAGCGTAAAAAATGATATGCGATTTGGCGAGTGAGTTCGCTCGCTCGCTCGCTCGGCCGTTCGTCGGAACGCATCGATTCCCTGCCGAAAACGCTGAATTCATTGGGAATTGACGGGGGAGCCATAACTCGCGTCTCGGTTTGACATTAATGCCTCCCCTACTTCGTGCCTCGCAGATAGGCAAGGGGGTTAAGCTCACTGCGACATATTTATGGAGAGGGCGAGATGCTATCAGGCACGAGGACTCCGGGTTTGCCCGATCGCGCGGCTGCGGAGAGCCCGCCCTTCCTACAATCTACTTCGCAATTATCGGGCCCGACGTTAATATTTGACCCAGGCCATCGCCCCGGCGCACCACCTCGATTTTGGAAGGAACATCGCCCAATCCCTCCCACACACGCACACCCGCAACTACATCTTCCGTCACGCTCGTCTCTATAGATCGCATCGTCGAATCTGGTCGTGTGCTTAGGAAAGTTCAATATTTGCGGCCGGCTGAAAGACACGAAGTTAAAGCTTGTCGCAAAATATTTTGAGCAATCAGACGTGATAAGAGCTACATGTTAATCAATAGTTTTTAATACAATTTGTGTGTTGTCACGATTTATATAATTTTATACATACTCTTAATAATAAACTTATCAGTTCACATTTTTAAAATATAATTATAACTTCTTATTTCCGATAAAAAGAAGTTAGCGCTATCTATTCACGAGATTAAAGATTATCAAATTTAATATACATTTGACTTTTTTCGCAACAGAACTTGACGATATTCATGACCGGTCGGTCAAGGACGAAGTTCGTCGCTCGAGTGAGTTTTCGTTAGTCTTCGACACCGCAGAAGGGATCCGGCTGGGGGCCTCTCTTGTCGCGACTTCAGGCAGAAAGCGGTGGCGGCGGCAGAGAGCGGGGGCGTGTGGTGCGTGTAAATTAAAGGCGTCATAGATTTTCGTGGTAGCCCGCAGGATCAGGGCCTTAGATTTGCGTCCGGCAGATTACCTCGGGGGTGAAATGGGACAATGGGCGTTAGTCTGGGCCGACGGCGTATAAATAAGGATCCCCAGGAAGCTTCTGGGGACCAGGGGGCAGCAGGCGGAGGAGATGCTCTCTCGCTAGCGACGTGGTAGCGGAGCGGAGAGAGCCCGGCTAGTGCTGAGACCGGTCGGCCGTCCATCTTGGCCGTCGCCGTGGCGGTCCTTATCTGCGCTCACAGCTCCGCTGCTAGACGTCCGGTGATCTAGGGCACTTCTCTCTCCCTCCCTCTCTCTTTCCCCTGCCTTACTCTTAGACCTTCGCCTCTCGCTCTCTCGGATCTCTTCTACCTTAATTATACCGGCTCATGACGCTGCTCCCGCTATCGCTCCCCCCTGCCCGTCTTTTTCTCATCTTGCGACAGGAAGCACCGCCACCTTTCCACGAGATCTAAACTCGGGTGATTCGTGTGACGCCGCGAAGTCGATGGAGCAACGCTGAAGTTAAAGTAGCGCGTCGATCATCGTACTCTTTGTGGCGCACTCGAGGATGAAATAACATCGGGAAATGTCTCGTGATGGGCGCCAAAGAAAATAATTTAGATAGTGCGAAGAGAAAGCGGTTTTTAATCTGTTTTGAGTACATCTTTTAAAAAATTATTTTCTCAGAGGTTTTAAAATCGCACACTAAATTGCGTGTAACTCGAGTTTTCTTGATTCCTAATTTATTATAAGTATTCTCTTTATTTATATGTATTTATGAGAGCGTTAAGAGAAAGAAATTTTTTGCAAGACATCTACAATCTAAACTGCGGATCTTACTTCAAATTATTAAATACGACTTATTTTAATTAATAGACGCGTCACAAAATACTTAAAATTATATCAAAATAGACTTATGTAAAAAAAATAATTTTTCGTAAACAATAATCTAATATTTCATAAACCTACTACAGTTGTTATAAAAACGAGGCTTTTGTTTAATATCCCTCATATACGAATTGGCAATAAATAAAACGAGAGCACATCTGTATTCGGATTAGTATCGAGCCAGTACCAGTAGATATTTACGAGCCTAGCAGGACAGGCCGCGAGTCCTATGCGTGTCTTTCCTTTCGCAGAACTTAAAGAGCGCGTTTGCGGCGCAGACTGAATGACGAGCAATAGTTCTACCGGCTACTTGGCCAGCCGACCGTACATGTTTTCACATATAAAACTGCCCTTGACCCTTCACCCGTATAATGAGCCACTGCCGATACATTATTCATAGGATGCGTCTTGTCTTTCTGCTCCGAATCTACGCTCGTAAGTTCCCCGTTACATCGGTCCGCCGGCGCGATTTATTTTTCGGCTGAAAGGAAAGGCACGCGAAGGGATCGGCAGAGCGCGAAAAGGACGACCAATCGCGGATGGCATAGTAGGAGCGGCCGCAGTGCGTCGACCTTCCTCGCTACCGGCCAGAAGACGATACTGGTATCCATTGTGTATACAAGATAGTTTTTGTACGACGTCTGAACGCGAATTTATTACTGTCTAAAACATGCGGATTCAAATATGCACAGGATTATCACATACTTCATATAATGACATTTTGGAGAATTGCTATAATCGATAGTAATAATAATAATAATAATTTGCAATTGCTAATTACTGTTTGTTCTCATTTTCTATCGACATATGTCGATATTTATGAAATTCTCAACGCAATCCAATTATCGCGGGAAACTTTCGGATGACCTAAGAAGACTGCGACGAAGCACGTATCAAAATAATCCTAGCAATTTCTTAATTTCTCTCCACAATCTAGCTCGTCGTTTGATTTGGCGCTCGGTACTGGTTCGAGGCCGCTAGTCCACTAGTGGGACGTGAGATAGTTGATGATCATGAAGGAAAGGGTGATCGCGAAGAGAGGAGACAATGAACGTGTCTCGCGAGCCAAGCACGACCCCTCGTATCCCCTCGCAACTTTCCGTGTCAGTTCACATACTCGAGAGGGACCACCTTTTCCGCTCTTTTCCCCCGCGGCCGGACAATCTCGGGAATCAATATAGCACCGAGCGACTATTCGCGAGCACTCCGTTCCAAGCTGCCGCCGCTATTGCTGCCACCACTTCGGCCTTGTAATTAAACCTGCTGCTAATGTACCGGCCAGACTATCGTTGTTATGCCATTCTGCCACCTTCGCGGCGCAGACTAAAAAGCGTACCCGCGCGTGCAAAAACAACGAGAGGATGCGTCGACCGGCAAACGCTGGTTTCCTCTTGCGTATGCGTGTGCGAGAAAAAGAACTGCGCGCAATATCTATCTGTTACAAGTGTTATTAATCCTAGAAAAATGTAGGAAGATTTTTATTTTACACTGCAGATGTTATTAGCGGCCATAAACAATGTGTTATCCGGTAAACTCGGTCTTTTATACAAAATTATCAAAATTATGCAAAGTTTATATAAAAATTAAATTGCGTAAAATTTATTATCGCGCAGTTCCAAATTATCCATTTAATCTATTCTCAGGATTAAAGCCATTCTTTCAGTACAGTACGTTGAATTTATCATGCGCAGCGTCAAATTCTAAAAAAAAAACTACGAGGAAATTGTACAACCCGTCAGTTTTTTTTATTCCATCCGCGAAGTGCATTAATTCAGTCGTTAACTCGTCGCGTGTAACCGTGACATTTGTTCTTTTATTAAACTCGCATTTTCGTACATCGCACGTGTTTCAAGCGCCGTATCGCGCACGTCGCGCGGCACATACACCTCGACCAACCCATAAAACCGTACATTGCTTCGTTATTTGATTATGCAACCGCGTTCGTCACGGCTTTCCTCCCGTTCGCTTTTTGACACCGTGTTCTATCGTCCAACTGTTTCTACCTATCCTAACGACATGTCATTTCAATGCAAATTGGAATAGGAAATCTTTTTAATAAATTTTAATAATCTTTGGACATGATAATATTGGATGTGTAAAGTTAGAAGCTGACATAAAAATTCCATGGTGATGTATTAATCGCTGAAACTTTTTTTAAATATCAGAGAACTATTTAAAAGGAAACTTCTAACCAGAATTATGAAATTTTTATGTTAGGATATTAACTTCATACATCCGAATAATATCAATAAAATACCCTATATTTTTCTAAAAATTAAAAAAATATTGATTTTATATTTCTACGTTTATTTAAACTTCCAGCTAATATGAAAAATTGATATTGACATATAATCGATGCCTATATATAAAAGATATGATTGCGATACTTTTTATTTTATAAATTCGTGTTAACGCGATTGATCGCGTTCGAAGCGGCATATTTCAATGGAAAGAGCGTCGACTTTCCACTTTGCCAGAAACGCATGTCACTCGCTCGTCTATAAAAATCTAATCAGTGACGCGCGGTCGTCGCCGACGAAATAATATTCCCACGAGTGATAATTTATCTCCGATAGAACCTGAGTCTGCGAGAATACGTCAACAACCCGAAGGTATTCGGGTCTGCGGTCGTCTAACGCACAGAGCGAGACCGTGTTTCCCTTCCCGACGCGCGGCAGTGGCGGGTCTTTGGGGTCCCGTAACGGAGTCTCGTCACACAGTTGTCTGTGCATATCGGATGAACGGCTCTCTCCACGATCTCGGCCGGCGCTCATGAAAGCTTAATCGCGGCAGCGCGTACTTATCGAACGTCGCTGGGGCCTAGAGCTCATTCTGCACTCTTTGCCGGCCGTCCCCTTCCCCGAGGACCAAGCTACCTTCGCGCTGAGGTGTTTCGCGGTAAAGGCAGAAACCGGGCACTAAATATTCGAGCTCGTGTCGGAATTATAAAAGAGGTCTGTGTGTGAACGTTCAAAAGTCGAAGAAGAAAGAGAAAGAGCGAAGTGGGAGGAGGGAGACAGAAGTGTATAGGCAGAAAAGGAGAAGCACCAAGGTGGTCTTACAACGGTAATGGTGTGAGGCACCTTACGAAGGGTGGATCGTGAAGAAGGTCGGCGAAGAGAAGCCGGATAGTATTCGCTCTAGACGGGCGAAACGACTCGGGAACGGTGAGGTTGTACGGATACAACCAGGCAATTGAACTCCTTCCGTTTATTGCTTCTAATTAAACGACCGAGATATTTCTGCTACGTTTCATTAGCGTAGAGCCGAACTCACGGCACGACGGTTTGGTTAATGCATTGCCGCTCGCAGCGCAAGAAAATTTCGGCCGCGACTTGCGACGCCTGCTACACGCGCACATGTACCGCTACTTCTTACTGACTATTGCTTCATTTATGTTCAACGACTCGTCCAGCTCGTTTCAGCGTGGTCAACTAAGCGCGGTCAATTAGGAGTTTCAATTATATGTGTATATATACAAATATAAAAAAAATATTAATTAACTCTCCATCGGCTGCAATGTGTGAAAGAACAAGATCAATCACAATGCAACTGTGAAATATAATATAGAATAAAATACAGAGAAAATCTATTTCTTAAACTCGTTAGAAAAATGCTAAGAAAATGTTAGAAATGGCAAAATATTTTAATTATGTAGTTTTTCAATGTTCACATCTCACTTTTGTTGAGGCGTGAAAACTTAACTCAGTATAATTAATATCTTGCATCAATATCATATCAAAATAAAATATCTGTGTAGAACTATATCCGTCTCAACTTTATGTCATATTAAATTTATATTTCTTATTTTTCAAACGCGAATCTCTCTCTTTCTCTCTGTAATATATTTCACAAATATTTGGCACGCATTGCAAAATTGATTCGGGTTAATCGCGGCCGCGAATCTTCTGATGAATAATCGGCAAGTGTAAGGAAGATGTCGCCGCGAATACGACGACATCGCAGGAATGAGCGAGAAGAGCGGCGACGTGACTCGCTTGCGCCAATTCTAATTTTGCGCTGGCTCGCTTAATATCTCGTCGTAGCGAGAAGCCGGCGATAAATCTCCGGATTCATTATCATAAATTGGCCCGACGGTGCCTGCACGGTTGATGCTGACGGGCGGCGAGCTCGTCTCATCGCGCGACAACGAGGATGACAGATCAAAGTGGAGGCGAGGAAGGAGTTCGATTCGCTCGTTTACGCAGGCGAGCTTGTCGTAAAAACGTCGTTTCGCTCGTCCCCTCCTCTTTTCTTTCGTCCTTCTCGCCCGCCCCACACGTACGAGCCTGCCGTTCGATTTATGGATCCGAGAACTGGTCCGTCTATAAATTAGGAAGACCGCGAAGATCGAAAGATATACGAAATCTTTTTTTACTGCGAATGATTATAAGCCGGAACTTTGGGCCGTGTTGCTTCGAGAATAACTGAGACTTATGTTCTTCAAAATATAATCATGGGCTCGATTTAATTGTGCATTGCTAAATGAATGTATTCGAAGTAAGTTATCGCAAGTTATATTTAAAATCTACTGATCTATTTGATATTCAGATTATATATTGACTAACTGTATAACTTTGTTTGTGTCTATAATTGTTAATACAAACAATATTTAATTTTTCTATGAATAATTTAAGCTTGAGATTGTTATTAGTGTCTTAAATGTCTCTTTCTATGAATCGGTAGGATCGCAAAAATAATTTCCAAAGAATATTAGGAATTACGTAACTATACTCTTCTCAGAATTCCACGGTGTTTATTTAGCTAAGCTATCTTACATTAATGTGCGACATATGTCTTGCTTTGCGATGTCGCTGTGACTGATTTATATGCCTTGATCTCGGTTCCTGTTGCCGGTAGAAATAACAATAACGTGATCATAATTTTCTCCCGTAAATTTGCATTTCTCTATTTTCCGGAGAATGTTGAACTAGATCGAAAGAGATTTCACGGCGCGATACGAATAATTAATCAAGTAAAATAATACAAAATTCACTCACCAGCCGATGTTTTATCATCGCAATGTATTGGCCAGCAAATCATTGATATCGAGGTGATTGATATATGGGCCTTGATCTCTTTGCTGCCTGTAAAAAAAAAAACATAATCAATATTTTTCCGGAGAGATATAAAACATAATATAAATGTAGTACAAAAATTTATACCGGCTGATATCCCGCTGTTGCATCCCGTTGGCAGGTACCGTTGTTCCGAACACACGTTGCACTAATTATCACTTATAAAACGACTGGTCAATTTATACGACACTCCCGAGTTTTTAACACGCGATATCATCCGACAAGCTTAATCATTACGACGACCGGCGATACATTGGATCCGTCACGCGATTACATCTTACATTCCCGAACGAATAAATAACGCGAAATACGACAATCGCCCGTAACTTTATTCGACACTCCTGACGTTATCGACACTTCCGAGATACGTTTAAAAAATTCGAAAGCCGGAGATAATTTCACACCGATGCGAAGATTGAGCGACACCATGGACGCAACAAACGCGATAGGCGCGACTAGCTTCGTTGTCAGAGAACGAATTAGAGGTTAACTCGCAGTTATATGCGCTTTTCATGATGATCGCCCGTTATTTCTTAATACTCCTCGACAAACCCGAAATAGGAGTCTGAAAGCAGAAGCATTTTCACACTATTCAATTTCACGATATTTAAAAAATTTCAACATAGTATCCGACGCAACAGACGCAGTTGATTTTTCGGATCAAAAGATGTAGAATCGCGACCGTGTGCGTTAATTAACACACTCCATGACAATTATTACGACAATTGTGATTTGATTTAACACCGTCTACGTTCTCGAAGTACGTAGAAAGACGAGGCAACTTCGCGTTGATGCTCGTCAATTCGCTGAGTAATGTCCGACATGATGCGACGAATGCGATTGGTTTTACGAATGCCGAAAGTCTAGTAATCACGACCGTACAGGCTAATTAACGCTCCACGACGATCGCCTGTCGCTGGATTCGACGTACTCGACATATATTTGCATGCAGAGTTCACTTCAAACGAGAAAAATCGCGTACTGAACGCAGGACGACGCTTGCTCCGACATTACCACCATTACCGCCATCGTCCTGTGAACTACGCGACGTTCGTCGTATTGATGATAGATCTCGTGACGTCACATTAGTACTATACTCACATGATTACATGCGCCCGCGCAGTTACCAACAGAATAATTGCGGATTATTCTGATACCTAAACTCTTCATATTTATTCAACAAATCTCACGATGCAAAGGAATAAAAGCTCTATGTTATATTATTAACTTACATTGAATTTATATCTCGTACAAGATATCAAAATTATCCACGATACAGGTTAATGTTACGCGCTTGTTACATCTAAGGTGACTGTACGATGCTAACACGCAATATACAATACATCTATAAAAAACAAAAATTCTAAACTCTCTACGTTTTAATCTTTATGTTTACGTCGCGAGGTAGTCAAAACAAAACACCGGCTGTACGTATGCCGCAATAAGCTCCAACGAAACGTGCTAACAACCTTCTGGCCAAATATTTTGATACATAAAATAAATACATTTCGATGTTGTTCGATATATTTATATATATTTTTCTACGGAGATAATATCGCAAAATGAGAATGAAAATTGATTATACGTACATCAAAACCTCGCTCGATGTAAAATATCTCACTTGATGAATGACGTTGCACAATAAAACGCGCCAAAAATACTGTGTTCTAAAAACACTCAAAAGTTGTTTTGATATTTAAATTGTATCACATTATTTAATTGGCTGCAGGTGTTTAAGGTATGTTCTAATATCTTACATATGTAATAATTTATGAAGCAATCATTAGCTTACGGTCATAGATAAAAAGCTCTTTTCTCTATAATGCATAATCCGCGATCACTGCAGCCAACATAAGTGCGATTACTCTCTCATTTGTCTCGCGACGCTCTCAGGGAAAGGTCAGGTAAAACGTAAAATATTAGTTATTCCTCGGACTTTTTGTTCATTGAAAAGAAATTATTGTAGAGTATTGATCAATATGTACGATCGCAATTATCAGTTTTTCAGATATTTGTAAAATAAATCGCGTTTGCCGCGATATTATCAGATATTAGTCGTCTAATCGCGTCGAACATTGAGTTAGGTTAAGGTTTATACCACTTTATACATCTCGCTTGATACATTTAAGGATTGTACGATGCTAGCATGAAATTTCGCAATATTTATGAAAAACAAAAATTCTAAATCTCCTATACGTTTTCATCTTTGTATTTACGTCGCGAGATAGTCAAAACAAAACACTCGCGTGTCTGTATGCCGCGTATGCCGCGTTATGCTTCCACGAAAAGTGCGCTGACAATTTTTTTGTCAAATGTTTTGATACATCAATAAATAATTTCGATGCTATTCGATATATATATACTTTGCTATGGAGATAATATCACGAAACAAGAAAGAGAATTGATTATACATACTCAAAATTTGGCTCGATGAAATTTCTCATTCGACGAATGACGTCACACAATAAAACGCGCCAATGTGTTCTGAAATATATTCAGAAGTTGTTTTGCGTATTTAAATTATATCACATTACCTAATTGGCTGCAGATGTTTAAGGTATGTTCTAATATCTTATTTATGTAATTCATAAAGCAACCATTAGTTTATAGTCATGAATAAAAAGATTGTAGCGCCTCTTTTCTATAATACATAATCCGTGATCACTGCAGCCAATACAAATACGATTATTCTCTCATTTGCCTCGCGACGCTCCTAAGTAAAAGTCAGGTAAAACGTAAAATATTAGATATTTTTCGGACTTTTTGTTTACTGTAAATAAATTATTGTAGAGTATTAATTAACTGGATATGTATGATCGCAATTATCAGTCTGTCGATAATTGTAAAATTAATCGCGTTCGCTGTAATATTATCAGATATTGGTCGTCGAATCGCGTCGAACGTTGCGTTAGGTTAGCGGTTATATAGCAGTTATACTATATCGTTTTATTCGTATTTTATATCGTTCATTTGCCACTAGATTAAGTTAATTTAATAAATTTTACTTTGTATCCAAAAGATCGGCATATATAAGACCATTGCTCATCGTATCAGATATCATTATTTACTGAATTAATGAGCATCAACGCGAAGTTGCCTCGCTTTTTATACTTGTTCGATGTTCGATGTATCTCTGATGTATCAAAAGTATCGAGTTAAACAGGAAATCGTCACGGAGCGTTAATTAATGCGTACAGTTTCGATTATCAGTTTCGTTTTTCGGACTAAAATTAATTGACTCTGTCAAGTATCAAATATTGATCGTTAAACACCGGTATCAAAGTCTCTCAAGTTTTTTTTTAAGATATTTTGGTTATCAAGAGAAAAAGGTCGAACAAGCAGCGTTTTATTTTGGTTATTTAACGATATATCTGAATAAACGTAGACACTTAGCTTATTTCTTTGAATTTTTGTTGTATGTATTGAGATTTTTCGTGTTAGTATCTCACAGTCGCCTTACAGCTAAGTGTAACAAGCGCGAAAAATTAACATAATCCTTTCAATATTCATAAAAATCAATCGCATTCGTGGTGCGAAGTTGAACGTAGCTTTGAGCATCGGCGTCAAATTGTGTTTTTAAATGTATCTTATGTTAGAAACGATGGGAGCGTCAAGTGAGGTTATGGGCTATCGTCACGTTTCGTGTTCTTCACTCGTTTGCAAACACATCGCGCGTATAATTACGTGTTGTAAGTGTCGGATGTTTCGCCGGTCGCGATGATAATAAAGACAAGTTATGGTAATTGGCTCTTCCGATGATATTTATGTTCGGAAACTTGATTTACAATACCTCGAATATTCTCGCGATGTCGAATTTTTTAATAAATATAATTGTTTTATGCGCTTGATCAAAATTGTTTCGGAATTTTCGTATTTTGCATTGAAAGTGTATCGTATATGTAAAATTCGGGAGTGTCGTAAGTGATAATTAGTGCCGTATAAATGTTTGAAGCAACGATGCCGATTAACGAATTGTAATGGCAAAACATGCTGGTGAGTAAACTATTGTATTATTTTAGTATTATATTTTTCACATTTTTGGAAGAAAATATTGACTATGTTATTGTTATTTTCGCAGACAGCAAAGATTGACAGCAAGACAGATCAGAGACGGTGCATTAATCATTACAATATAAATGGAATATCGAAGAATGAGATGCAAAACGACGGTGATGGAGACGGAGATGCACGGACGGACATCGACTAGTGAGTAAATTTTTATATTATGCAATTAATTATTTGTTTATTAATAATATTTTGACATTATTGTGTTATTACTGCATTGATCGATACATAATTGTCACTCAAGGGAAAATTATATGAGAAAACAGTCTGTAGATAATTTATAAATAATTGATACAAAATATAACAAAAGGCTAGAATGCGCAAGTAAAAACTTAATTTTTCAAAATTATTACTAATAATTATAATTACTATATATATCATTAAATAACGGGTGGCTACTTATTTTTGTGTCACGAGATTTAGCATAATACAAGGTGACGCCGAACACCTAATGATTTATCGAACACATGCTATAATATAAATTACGTATCTCTACTATAAATGCAGTAATTAACAACAGACGTGATTCGGTTGGAAGGGTGCATTCGCTCAGTGAGATGTTCTCGAATGTGAATCGCGAAGCGGTATACATTCTGGACAGAGCATTTACATTGTAACTATAGCCGCGGGCAGTGTAAACACATTGACACGGAACATTCAGTTAACATCGTGCATGCGGTAGGGAATAATGTAACATGCGGAATTACATAATGGAATTATATGTCCCGCTCGCAAACCGTTCCAGAAAATGTCCATATTTTCTATTGCATGTATTTTTCATTAAGTACCCGCATGGCGAATTTGATTAAAAGCTATAGATTGATCATTGCTCTATGATAAATCGAAATTCGGTTACACATTTTACGGACATTGCATCGCAAAGCATGGAATCACTTTAATATCACAAATCACCATAATACTTTATTTTTTATGAGTTTTTACAATGAGATTAAAAGCAATTTTCCTTGTCGTACATTTTTAAACATATTATACGCATTTTAAGACTTTTATTGTTTTATAAACTTGTAGTAAATTGTGAGAATTTCTAAGAAACAATGTTGTTTAAAGAATTAATGAGATCTAATTAAAACGAGATAAAATCAGCGACACGGTTAAGGGTGAATTTTTAATTGGTATATTTATGTTCGCGTGCATGTACATAAGACACAGATCGTGCGAACGTTTTCTACTCTTTTCCCTGAAAAGCTCGGGTAATCGCACGCCGGCCAAGTGTCGAGAGGCGGAAGTCCAGTTCCGAGGCAGGCGTCGGTTGTGCTCACCTAATCTCGAAACGCTTGTCCCGGCTTAAACGAACCTTGGCCGCTAATACGCGAGTGATTAATTATTGTTACGCGTCGGTGTTACGATCTCCGCATCGGGCCCTTAATGGAAATAACTAAGTATTGTTCGGGTACATGCCTTCCGTACGGAAGCGATCCATCATGACCCGGATAATTAGTACAGCTGTGGTTGCGCGTATAATCATCACTCAGAATAATAATGGCGATGCGCCTCTCTTCCCTCTTGATGCACCGAGAGGTGCGAAACGACGCAGCGGGCACCATGAGCGACCCTCGTCGCTGCAGTGAGCCCGCGTAACATGTGATACTTGCACGCGTGTTGATCGCTCATGATACTGCGATTAATTATTACCAACGCCTTGTACTATTTACCATTAAATAATTGTTGTGTATTTGTATTAATATATAATTTACTATTTATATAATGGCATGTCAATATTGACTATACTATGTTTTAATGGCAATAATGAAGCTTTGGTTTGCTTGCGAAAAGAGAAGATACATAATTATTCAATATTATCTTGAAAGTTTTTAAAAAATTTTTTGAAGTTTAGTGCATCTATTTATTAGAAATCATAAAAATTTCTTTTTTATTCAATTAGTAGCACATTTTTTGTGATAAAATTCATGTTTTTAATTAGATATATCAAACTCCTTC